TCGAGGTAAAGCACAGAGGCTCACAGACACAGTTCAAAGCTGGGGCAGCTTGGTGCTGAGACAATGAGTATAAGTTCCCTGGGGAGCTCTCATAAAAGCTCAGTGGCTTAACGTGAACTTTCGAAGAGCAGGAGATACCTGCATTCCTATAGGTGTTATAGTCTGGGCTTCCTCCTACTAGAATGGAAGGGGCAGGAGGACAGGCGTTTTTGCAAAGCTTCTTTACTGACACAACCCACGTCCCTACAAAAAGAGTCTGCCATGTCATAGCAGCTTTATAAATATTGTGGAACAAACAAATAATCAGAAGCTATGAAAGTGGATAAAGTTTGCTGGGAACTCTTAGGACGTAGGAAAAAAAAACTTTTAAAGATCTGTTAAAGGCACAGTTATGTTTGCCCTGCGTGGCCTGGTGCTGTCACTACTAGCACAGCCACGGCCTTTTTCAGCGGCAAGATTTAGAACACTTCTGTTCTGGGCCCACCTTCGTAGCTAATTCATCAGGAAAATCTTAAGTCGGCTTCTTTCCAGGTTTGTTTTCTGTTCTATAAAATAAGGTGTTTAGAAAAAAAGCTTCTCAAGATTGGCTGCATACTTAGTCAAGATTCCAATAGACTTTGTACATTAACAGCACCTCTATAGAAACCTCTATAAAATGCTGGCGCGTGGACACCATCTCCTAAGATTCTAATCAGCTGGTCTTCAGGGGGCTCAGGTATTGATAGATAGCCAGAAGTGAGAACCACTGACCCCAGGATCATGGCGCAACTCTGTTCAAGAGCGGCCATCCATGGGTGTGTCCAGGCACGTATTTGCTGTTAAAGTGGGATGGGGGTCACAGGAGGCTGGTAGTACTGCAGCGTGTCTTGTTGAGTTAGTAAGCATCACCAGTGCTGCTGCAGACGCTAGAGAGGCCGCGCAGACAAGAGCGGCCGTACGTCAGCTCCGCGGAGCCTTCTTCCCAGTACTCTGCTGGCTTCGGGTGCACTGGCTACTGCTTTCCAAACTCCTAAAGCTGTTTAATAAACCTCACACCCCACTTGCTCCCCTTCTATGCCTGTCCTGAAAGCTAAGCAGGTTGTTTGCTCATGCTAACGCAGGCGAATCTGGGTCATTTTCACGCGCTCTTGGGAACTGTGTAGGCTCTGGGCAGTAGCCTTTCGCGTTTTATGATTATCACTGAATCTTGAATCTGACACTTCAGAATCCTCACCTTCTAGCTCCCCAAACTTGGTCTGGAAATCAGATCCACAATAAACGATCTCTGACTGTGTTTTGAGGCCATATTCAAAGCACAGCACCTGGAGCGCTCCCGCACCTTCAGGAGATCAAACTGCGATGGCCGCCAGCCAGGACCATCTGCTTAACGACACCCCCTTCTTCCTGTTCTCGTCATTGATAGCAGCCTACGTTTTGGAGAGCAGTGCCACCACCGGAATTGAGAACCCTGGTTAAGAAATTATAAAATAAAATTTTAGTTCAAATAATGTTTTGGGGGGGTTCCATGATGCCATAATCTCCATTTTTAAAAGATAAATTGCCCAACTGTTTAACGTGATGCACAAAAAGTTACAAATATCCCCCATTAGTTTCTGTGGAACCTCATTGCTCAGTTGTTTTGATGGGTTCAGTGATCATTGCAATCGCAAAATGCAGAAATGTGCTGCTTTGTTTTGTAACCCAAGACTCTGAGTCTCAGTAATCAGGAAATTTTTTAGGATTTTGAAAGCACAGAGATATTTGCCTTATCTCTTACCAACCAACCATCATGGCCTTCCAAGACTGGGGCATAGATGGCCTGTCTCTTTCCAACTCCCTAAGAATTTGTGGTACCCTCTCTATAGATTTCCAGGATCTCACATACCCAGGCAAGTCCCTTTACTGAGCTAAGCCTCTCTTGAGGATAAAATAATCCAATCTATAAGGGAGTTAGTTCATCGACCCAGCCAAGTGCTATGCAGGTGCTGCTGGAAAAGAGGGTGTTGCTTGTTTTGTCTGCCTCCTCCCTGATCTAAGAAATGCCGTTATCCCCCACTACCTATCCCACCACACATCCCCCCATCCCATAGGCGCACTAATCCTGCCTCGATACTTTGCCTGACCTTTGGCTTGAACTTGGTAGATCTATCCATAAGCACAACAGGAATATATTCTCTCATCAAGAACATTTCCTGAAGTGGGGGCTGCCGCACTGGCTGAGGTCATTGTTGCTGTGCTTTTGCTTTTCTTTGTTTTAGAAGTTGGACAGCACAGGGATTTTTATCTCTTTTGCTGTCAATCACGAAACTGCCTCCTCTGCACTCTCATCACTTTCCCAGGCATTCCACCTCTTAGCGTCCCAACAGGCTTTGTCACAAGCAGTCAGATCTTAACTCTGCTGCAACCTACACCCATCTAGCTCTGCAAAATGGCATGCTAAGGTCACCAACTAATCATCCTGCTCTCCCACCTTGTCTGCTAGCTCCAAACTTAGTAGAGTCCTTCTAACTTCAGCTCTTCTTCCAACTTTCTGACTCAACCTTAAGCCTCTAACTGGGTGACCCATAGAACTCACTGGCCACAGTAGAGGCCAGCTCACTGCAACAGCCATTCTTTCCCCTTCTTTGCCACAGCATGCTCTGCACAGTTCCTCAAACAAGCGAATTAGACCAGCTGATGTGTTTGGGGAATGCCCTTACTCACTCAGTAGGCCTGAGCATCCACATAAGGACCGCTCGTCTCCACATAGAGGTGGGTAGATGACCAGCTCTGGATCTCCCTCCAGATGCCTGTTCACAGGGCACATTTTCTCAGTGTCCTGGCTGGCTTTCCAACTGCTGGCTGCAACTCTTGGGAGCCTCCTGGTGAAACTTGAAACCACCCTCCATACACAGAAGGCACTGAAAGACCACTTCAGATCATTAGGTGGTTGGCTTAATGAGCAAGAGAACTTACATACAAATCTTGTCTTGAGTGACCACAAGATAAGTAGATATTCACACTTGCCTGCCACAATCTTAAACTTTTATTTAGAGGCCTTGATGGGGTTCAGTCACATGTTCAATCCAGATGGGCTGAACAACAGCTTACTATCCCAAGTCTGTGTCCTTGGAGCAGCCTGCAGCATGGAGAAGGCAAACAGAATACACATTCCAAGGACAAGGGAGTGGGTGAGAAGCCTCTGATTATCCCAGAGAGATTTTTACATTTTACATTCCTACCGGTAAGAGGTGAATGATGAGAAACTCATTTTCTCTGCATCCATACCAGGTCTTATTCTTGTCACTACTTTTTATCTTACTCCTTCTGTTAGGTGTCTTGTGAAATATCATTGTGGTTTCAAGTTGCATTTTTCTAGTCGGTTAAACATCTTTTCATGTGCTTATGTGTCTTCTGTAAATCTTCTTGAGTGAGGTTTCAGTTTGCCCATGTTTTTGGTTAAATTGTTTCTTTGCCCATATTTTAGTTAAATCGTTGGGATTTTTTTTTTTACAGTTAAGTTTTGAGAGGTTTTAAAATATATTCTAGATGGTAGGCTTTTGTTGGATATCTGACTGGCAAATATTCGCTTCCAGTGTGTAGCTTGTCTATGAGTCCTCTTAACAGGGTCTCTCATAGCAAAAGTTTGCATTTAATGAATTCGACACAGTTCAGCTTACCCAACTTTTATAGATTGTGCTTTTGTCATCAAGTCCAAGAAGTCTTCCCTGGCCCTAGGTCCCAAAAACTTGTTTCTATGTTTTTCAGTAAAAGTGTTGCAGTTTTATATTTTACATTTTAGTGTGAGACTTCTGCAAGTTTTTTTAAAAACGTTTCTTAATGAAAACATCATTTTTAAGGATCAAAGTCTACAGGACACTCATCTTAACAGTCATTGCTACTATCAATGCCTTTCTTCTTTTTTTCTATGTATTTTTTTTTAAATTTTATTTTAATCATTGTTTAAGTACAGTTTTCTGTCCTTTACTCCCATTCCAGCCCACCCATCCATCCCTCCCCACCTCCCTCCCGTTTCCATCCCCTCCCCCAGTTTTTGTCCATGTGTCCTTTATATTTGTTCCTGTATACCCTTTCCCTTTCCCCCTGAAATTCCCCTGAAATGCCCCTGAAATTTCTCCCCCTCTCCCATCTGGTCACTGTCAGTCTGTTCTCTATTTCAGTGTCTTAGGTTATATTTTGCTTGTTTGTTTGTTTTGTTGTTTAGGTTCCTGTTAAAGGTGAGATCATACGGTATTTGTCTTTCACCGCCTGGCATATTTCACTTAGCATAATGCTTTCCAGTTCCATCCATGCTGTTGCAAAGGGTAGGAGCTCCTTTCTTTCTCTCTGCTGCATAGAATTCCATTGTGTAAATGTACCACAGTTTTTTGATCCACAGTGCCTTTCTTCTTAAAATAACTGTCATTTTTTGCTCAGGGAGATACTAAGGCAGGCACTGTGGAGACTTCTGTGACAGCCCTTCTTCCCGGGGCTGGGTGCTGGCCTCTAAAGAATGACCCTTGTCACTGGCTTTGAGGTTTCTATGCACACACAGGCTTCTATAATAAGTGAGTCACAATTAAGCAGAATGAGTTAGGGGAAGAATTGTGAGAATCACACAGGTAGAGTCTAAGTAAAGGGGAGGCAGTTGGGGGATCAAAGAGCATTGTCACGGTAGAAGACAGACAAACATCAAATTTAGGAGAGGTGGCCAGAGGAATGGGAGGCCTGTGGGAACAGGAGTGTTGCCAAGAGAAGAGGGGAATCTGGGAAAGCAGGGGAACGACTTTAAGGCTCAGACTGCTGTACCTCAGGGATAAAGGGAAGGGAGGGCACAGGCAGGCAGGGTGGGGAGAGAGAAATTTTGTTGGAGTCACTTGGACTGGGCACAGGGAGTGGCAGGGAAAGGTCTGACGGAGCCAGTGGCAAGTGAGAGGGGGCTGCCCCGGGGGTAAGCGGGAGCTGGCAGAAAGGTTGGAGCTTTGGCCGCACCAGATTCGTGTCAGATTATAAAGGGGCGACAGGAAGGGACCTTCCAGTGGTAGCAGCGCGCAGTGCGCCACACTCCCCGCCGGGGAGGAGCGTGTCTCTGACAGCCCGGCGGCTGTCCCAGCCTGCGCGTGTCTGTCCCCGCGCGTGTGTGTCCCTGGCTCTGGGAGCCCGGTCCTCGCGCAGCAGACTCCCGGCCCTCTGCCCTCACCTTGCGCCTCGCTCCTCTGCACGCCCATCGACAATGGATGGCAACTCCCTGCTCTCCGTGCGGAGGTAAGAGCCGCTTCCCTCTTTGCCCAGCCCAGTGCCCCGCAAACTCCGTTCTCCACCCCGGTGGCTCACATACTTGCCCTGCGCCTGCACGGCGCTCCCGCGGAGCAGACAGAGGACGCTGCACTTGCAGTTAGGATGGTCCCTGGCGGGGCGCGGAGCCTTTGGGAGACGGTGATCCCCGGCTGGGCGCGGAGCTCGGGGCTGGGTGCGGCCTGCGGGCGGGAGCTGCGGGGATGGGGGACGGCCGCCCACCCTCAGGGCCGGGATCTGGGCTCTGTTCTGCCTCGGGAAGCAGGAGCCGGAGTGTCCGCAGACACAGCCTAGAGAGGTTTCGCGCCTCGTAGAGAGGCTGGTTTCCCAGGTGTGGGTGAAAATAGGAGGGAACAGGTCTAGGGCAAACTGCCCCACTTCTCGTCCATCTGAACCAGGGCGAGTGTCAGAGGTTGCTGGGTAGGGAGAGGGTGAGGATGTAAGGAGTGGGGTCGAGTGGGGAGATTGCCCCTAACACCCGATCTAGGGTCAGAAGAGACCTTGATGCGCCCCAGTTCTACCTGCCTCAGCTGCCCGCACACTCCCTGCCAGACTGTGAGTCCTCCTGACCATCTCCCGCCACGCGCATTCCCTGACTCCATCCAGCCCTGGGGTCCCCACGCTGGGTGGGTCAGGGATGCCACCTTAGACCCCACCACGTGGGAGTAACGCGATTCCCCTGGTCTGCGTCTGACTCTGTCCTGTCTCCTTCTCTCCCTTTGCCCCTTCTCTGCGCTCCTTCCGACACAGTCCTTTGCGAATCTGAGAAACTGAGATTGTTCTATTTTTCACCCGCATACACCTCAGGGGTAAATTGAGATTGTAGCCCTGGCGGTATTATGCCTGCCGGGCAGGTGGCTTTTGCGCGGTTTCTGCTCGGAGCGGAGCGGCTGCACTGAGAACAGAGGTGCGGTTGCTGTCAGGGTGATGGTGGCTGTGTGACCCCCGCAGCCCCATCGCTCCAAGGTAAGGGGCTTAAGGTTAATCCTCTCGTCATCCTCTGCTCCCCGCTTTCCCCAAGCAAATATCTAGGCAGCTCCCAGCCAGGAGCATCAGGCACTGGAATGAACATTTTAAAGTCGCATTCTTGGAGAGCAGCACACCCCAGCACCCGCAAACTAGGGCACACATGTAGCTGATACTACACTGCGAGGAGCCGCGGCGGGGGGTGCAAGGGGAATGGGGTGGCAGAGAAGGACAGAAGACTGCTTCTCAAACTCGTTGGAGGCTGCCATCTAGAGACTTGTAGTGCTCCTGCTCTGTAACGAAATAGAGCCTTTCCCGACTGTCCAGGCGCTTCCTTCCACTTGAAGCTTCCCCGGCTGGCTGGGTAGCCAAGGGCCCTGAGCGCTGTGGTTTCTGCGCTGCACCCGGAGCAGCTCCCCATTGAAAAACCTCTAACCCTGGGGCCAGACAAGGTCACCCAACCACTGAGTCTTTGCTTTCTGCCCTGATGTATGAAAAGGACAGTAAAAACCACAAGACTCCTTTCAACTTAAAGAGGATGTATATTGCCACCGATGTTGAGGTGATTGTGGGAGTCACTTTGAAAGTCAAGGAAACTGGGGGCTCCTTTCTGCACCTCCTATCCTACTGCCTAACGTTGTTAGAACTGAGACGTTGGACGGTGCGGTTCCAGCACCCAGTGAGAGGCACTTCTGATAAGAGATTGATTGTTTTAAATCTAGTCCGGCAGATCAATAGTACCGTGCCTGGTTTAGGATTAATTTCCTATTCGAAAGTTTAGAGAGCTTTTAAAATGCTAGAAACACATTGTGCCAATGATTTCTCGATATTATCTCTACCGCGGTCTTGTAAAATGACTCTTTAAAGAGCAAACCAAATGATATTGCTCTGTACTTTTATAGTAGCCTATTAAAGTGGTAATACAGATTTAACATCAGCTGGAGCCAATTAAACCCCTTGAGTATTACTGTTTATTCACCAAGACACTTTATGTATTTCCACAAATCAGTGTAGTGATTCAGCTATTTTATTAACATCCTTATTCATATAGGAAATTCAGTTAACTCCACTAGATGAGTTAATCTGATCCTCTGTTTCATTGAATACAAAAAACAATTTCCTTTCTATAATATGTCATTGGAAGTGACAGGTATTGATTTGTAAAAAGTGATCTAGAATTTTTAAAAGTTGTGTAGAAATATTATATTAGTTATTCCACTTGTCCACACAACTATGAAATTTAAATAATTAATGACTGAATATACAAGCTTTTTCAAGAACATGGCAACAATCAGGAAAAATCAAGTTGTTATCAGCTGGGATTTGTGTTGTCTAACTCTGACCTATTTAAAGCAAGTTCAGACATTCTGTTTAACAACTGGACCAAAAAAAATAAATAAATAAATAAACAAAAGAATGATTTAGTAATATGTCAAGTTAATTGCAGAATATATTTTTTTCTTCTTGCTTTTAGATCTTCTTAAGTTTTTCAATGAATCAAAATATGAATGAAATATTTATTTATTTAAAAATAAAGTTCAGTCATTTATCAGAGTGAATTTTATTTTTCAGTGACTGAAAATTTAATCAAGCTCTATTATGCAAAGATTAATCTCAAAATTTTATGTGATTTATATACATTAGAAACTTTGAAGCATGGATTTTTTAAAAAAAATAATTGTTTATGGGTCTTTGAGTTACTATACTATATTGTTACCTTACCTCTGTGAGAGCTCCAATGAGTTTTTACTTTGAATGTTTTCATTTTTAAGTATACAGTAAGTTATGTGGTTTACACTACAGATTTCCTAAAGTAACTGCTTATCAAGCTTGACGGTGTCTCCAATAAGGAGGCTGAGCTGGGGAGAGATGAAATGTTCCCATGTAAGTTGTATTATAGACCCAGCACCCAAGTGTTTTCTGAGCAGTTGGCCAGTTCAAAAGAAAAAAACGAGGGTATCTTTTCACTTAGATCTCAAAGTGTAAAGAAGTTTACTTGATTTGCTGGGGTTACACAACTAGGAATTGTGAAAATAAACAGGAACCCGAGGCCTCTCGTCCAGTGCGTGCTATTGGTCTAGCACTTGGTAGGGCAGTGCCGTGTACCCCTCACAGGAGGGAAGTCGGTCTCACTCATGTCGGTAACTAGTGCGTGTATAGGAAGGCTTCCATTTTATCAAGTGTTATCCCCTATATTAAATCATTTGATTTTCACATCTCTGTGATGATGATGATTAATTATAATGGCTATAATCATCTCCACTTCCTAGCTAAAAAAAAAAAGTGAAGCCAAAGGAAATGAAATGAAGAAAATAATTAGATTTTGAAATCTCTACAGTGGTATGTAGCAGAGCTAGATCATCCCCAAAGTTCTTCTGGCTTCAGGTTGAGTTTTCTTTCTTGCAGTGGCTGAAAATGCAAATGTTATTTCAAACGGGGGAGAGAAGATTCTGGTGCTCAGTTTGACAAACCCCGACTTAATCAGAATGCACAGGATCAGCCTAAAAGCAAGACCATTTTTTAAAGCCAAGTGCTGAAATACCATTGTTTTGCAAACAGAAATAATTTGTTGCCTGAACCATTTCTAAGCTTGAATTAGAAGTTTAAGAAAGATGACTTCTCTTATGTCCTAAATCATTTGCATCTTTATACTGTACTATTTTGTTCCTTTTGTTTCATCCAGCTTATTGGATTTTACTCCATTAATAAGGTTTTTGTATGGAATGTTGAATTAGAAAATCATCAGAGATGAGCTTTTGAAAAAAATATTGTATTTATTTATTTAGATTTCCCGAAAGTTTATTTTACCCAAATCTTAGTTTACCTAGCAACATGTCACTAAAACCCACCAGAATCTCAAGGTTTCATCTTTAAGAGTGTTAATTCTATGGAAAACCAACTTGATTTTTTTGATGGAGCAAACAACCTAATTCTGTAAACTAGACTATGGTCTTCCAACTGAATTTTATTGAAAAATTATCTCTCTTCAAATTCATAGAAAAGGAAAAATTCGAGAACATATTTATATTCCTGTGACCCGTTTATCAAAAGCTCTCAGAAAAGATCACTCTAGCATTCCTAACAAACTGAGGATCAGAGCCAGATATCAGGCACTGTGTGAAGTGTAAACTTAAGGTCATTCTCCATCCTGCAAAGCATGCTCTCCTCAAGACCAGGACTGATGTGGCCACATCCCCCAATTTGTAAGTCTTAGTGAAATACTGCCCAACAGGTGCTATTTCCTATAGAAAAGGAAACTGGGCATTAGTAAATTCCAGTGCCTAGGACGTTGATATAACACATTACTACAGGGTAATGGGTAGCTGGATAAGAGATGGAAACTCTGAAGGCAATTCCCATAGAAACAAGACTGTTGAAAATCTTGAAGCCCACCCTTGATGCTATACTTCACCTACTGATACTTTTAGGGACCCTTGATCTCCATCTACATGGTTTCTTTAGTAAAATATGGGCCTGATACCAAGTAATCAATTTGTAAATTAAGTATTAAAAGTCATCTCATTCATTCTGAAGGGTCCACCTTTGTACTATTCATTTTAATGGAGTTCGAGCTACGAAGGCTTACAGGGAGGGGAAGAAGAAAGAGTGAGGCATTTGCTGTTGGGAGACCTGATGTCTAACCCTGTTCTGAAATTAATGTCTGTGATCGCCTAGGCAGGTTACTTGACCTGTGCTCCTCTGTCTCCTCCTGGATATAGTGATATGTACCTTGTGTAGACTGATCTTCTAGGTCCCTTTACCTCCAACTGTCTATAATGCCACAGCCTTTATTGTAGCATTGATTCTCAGCTGGGCACAAAAAGATGACCACCTCATTCTCTTGAAAGAGACAGGTGAAATCAAGGCACTTAATCAAGGCCCCCACCACTGAAAAAAAAAGCCCAAGTTAGAAAATGGTTGATTCATTGTTAATGTCCCCACACAGGTAGAGTACAACATGCTTGCAGAAGGTGTAATAAAGTCTCACTCTTTTGTAGAGAATA